ATTATGTTTTTCTGATTATTAAATTTGAATGTGTTGAGAGTTTTAAAACAAACGAAAGCATATAGAATGTAAGAACAGCTAGTAAAATCAAATTGTTTGTTTTAATTATTAAATAGCTGTGCGTTTAGAATTTTAAAACATTTAATAAAATATAAGAACAAACTGGAAACATGTAAACTATTGTATTCACGATGGGAAAGAATGAATAAACTATAACAAAAGATTAAAATATATCAGTAAAAGTAGTTAGTTAGAATGAATTTATAAAATAAAATTCACAAAGAATAAGATGATCACGATGAATATCTTATATATATAATATTCTTAAGATATAAAAATGCGACAAGTGAAGAAAAACGTATATTAAAGCAAAATGTTCACGTTCTTTAAAAAATAAAACACATTATGAAATTTTGTTTTGAATACAATTTTAATCGCTGAAATTAGAATAAGAAAAAAATTAGATCACGTACAATAATACATAACCACATAGCAAAACACCAAAGAGTGATACATAAACGTTAATGATTGATCTTCATCTTTGTCGTCATTTGATTTAAAGAAAAGCAAATGAGTTGCTAGATTTCTATAGTAATGGCAAAGATTGCTAATATGTTGAACTTAGCAATATGTGCTTGATTATAAGTCATATTTAGCAATTTGGTAAAGATTAAATGCGATTTATTTCTCTCTTTTATTATGAAAATATATGCACTGTGATTGGTGTTTTACCTTGTATATGTACTGTCTATGTATTATTTTACAAATGTAGTAATTGTATTCTCATATATTGTGTTTCCATTAGTTTAGATTTATACGATTTGTTGTTTTAAACTTAGTAACTGTAGCGCAACATAACATGTACATTGAGAAAGTTATAGTAACAACTTGAAAAGACAGAGGCGTGCTTTAACTGAAATGCTAGTAAATCATATTGACGCTGAAAATATAAGTTTTGGACTAGTGCTAAATGTTGTCATTTATTCGTATGATATTCTATTTGTTAATTTCTTAATCAAAACCATAATAATTACGGGAAAGAATTACGTGACCAGAAAGATTTAAGTATTGTTAGGCAGATGATTCTTAAGTATTGTTAGGCAGATGTTTCTTAAGTATTGTTAGGCAGATGATTCTTTCGTCATCATTTGACTACTGAGATTTTACTTACCCCATTTTTAATATAATTTTTGAACCCCTATAATATTTATTACGTATAGCCAGTTGTCTTATTATATTCCTAAGTAATTTTGTTTGCATACACCTGTTTCTGTCCAAAAGATTGAGCTGCATATAAATTTTAGATACATTGTCGCTTTAAAAGTACCTTTCTTAACATAGATATTATGTTCGAAAAATATGGTGCCAAATCTATCAAGTATTTTATATCCAGTTGTCTTATAATATTCCTAAGTAATTTTGTTTGTATACACCTTTTTCTATCCAAAAGATTGAGCTGCATATAAATTTTAGATACATTGTCGCTTTAAAAGTACCTTTCTTAACATAGATATTATGTTCGAAAAATATGGTGCCAAATCTATCAAGTATTTTATAGCTCTTATCTAAATCAGTTAAACTTTCCTTAAACAGTTAAAATGAACAACATAATATTGAAAACTGGAAACATTCTTGTATTTCTAGCACAGCTAAAAGCTGTTTTATCAGTAGATTTTTTCGCTGGAAAATTCAATGAAGATGTGAAAAATTTTGTCCAATGACGATGTTGCAACATGACACGACGGTTACTTTCATCCCATCTGAGCCATTTAAAAAAAGAAAATATGACCAGCATTTCTAAATCAAACTCTAAAATCCGTTCTCATTTGGCATTCTCTTCATCCTGTCCTCCAATATCAGAATCGTCCTGATCAGCCAAAATTGGATGATGAACCTTTGTCTCACCATTCGCTATTGAATCGTTCATGGCATACCATCCGCCATTTGCCATTTCTGAAACATAAAATATATATATATATATTAAAGGCAAATGCTACAAACGATGGATAGTCGAATTGATAAGACAATTGTTACGTATTGAATAATTTATATTACAACAGATTTTAAAACAGTGTAAAGAATATACCCTTTGTGTAACAAAAAAAGTGAACATTTTAAAATATCACACAAAAATATTCTTCATCCTTTGTTATTCGTCAGAACTTTAACATTTTGTAATTCAATTACCACACAGTGCTAGACATTTTCACTAAAAATTATTTTTTCTTCAGCAAAATACTTTTATTACACTGCTTTATTTCAATTTTAACTTACAAGATAAGTAAACTATATACATACTCGGGGGAGGTTTATTCTTTGGCCTGCGGCTTTTTTTAAGACAAGAATGGTAAATGGTAAGGTACAAAAGGCCTAAAACAACGGAGAAAACTGCAACCCCACGGAAGGCTTGTCTAGTTCCGAACAGTTCCATAAAAAATCCACCCAGAATACTTCCTAGTCCTCTACCTTTTTCCCAAAAGATATATAAGAATTTGTAAACATTACTTCAAAAAACTTTATATACTGTGCAAAAAAAAAAAACGTAATGTTAAAACTAACTTCATAAAACGTTAAACAAATATAATGCACAGTTACATTTTCAATATCACATAGCTCAAATTATTGGGATATTTTAAATTAATATCTGTAAATGCTATACATTTCTAGTTCTTTCGTTTATGTACAAAAACAAACGTTTTATACCTGTCAAGCCTGATAAATATGTCATAGGTTTGCTTTTTAAATTTATCAAAGACGGTAAATCATTTCGAAGAAAATAATCTTGGTATTTTTCTTCTTGTTTTTTATCGTTCTGAAATTAATTAACCAGACACTGTCAATATGAATTAGGAAGTACACAACAAACAGTAAATTTTATAAACATCAATATATACTGAAATACTACTGACTTAAATTATCGGGAATTTATATTGATAGAAATTAGCAAGAACACTCTTACCGATTCCAAAATGCAGAATGTTTAGAAGGTACTGAATTATAAGATGGGAACTTCTTGGTACGAGACTGTGGCCATAAGAAACTGCTGCAATCCACATTACACTTAACGAAAAGGTTTCCATAGATTCGAAAGGAATGGTCCACCATGGGGTACTTATATACGAAATGCCAGCATATCGGATAGCATAGAAAAGAAATGCGAAGACAAGCAGATTGGCTCTGCCAATGTTATGCACCATGTTTTTCGAGATGGCCAAAAAAGGCAAACTGCAAATGAAGGCCACAGTAAGAGTTAACCCTATCTGCCACTTGGTGCAACCCAAGTCTGAGTAGAACCAATGCATAAAAGTTTCAATGAACCCCCACTGAATGCCAAGCACCACCACTAAAAGTAGAAGGAAGATCATTTCTAGAGACCAGAATCCATGTTTTCTTTTCATCAGTTTCTCGGGAGTAACAGTGTATTTGCCTTTCCACCCTGCCGACAAAGGTAAAGCGACAACGAGAGCACAAGTTATCAGTGCTAAACCATCAAAAATAAACACAGATGGTGAATAGTCTGGCTGTTCCGATATATCACTGTAGTAATCAATCAAAAATCCTGAGATGGGAGGAAAAATGGCTAATGCAAGTGCTCCTAAGATTCGAGTTCTACCGTAAACCCCGTCGTAATCATTAGTGCTAGATATGGTAATTGCGTCTAGCAGACATACGGCCGAAATCAAACCCAGATCAGCAACAGCTCGAACGCCTAGATAGGCCCAGAAAGTCAACATGGGATTTCCAATAACTTTAACACATGGGGCTGGTTTTAATTGCTGATCACCTTCTTGGAGACCCAAATGACACTTAATAAAACAGCTCTCCGGTAAAGGGCGGCAACTTATTTCTGTGTAATGTTTTTTGTTCACAACAATTGGTGCCACAGGTTTAAAACTGCAAATATTAATAAAAGATGGGCTATCGAAATTACTGTCCAATAACTGAGAAGAATCAACGTTTTTATATTCATCGTGGTACCATGAGATGAATCGGGAATTGAAACTGATTGTGGCATTTTCTTCTGAGGGTTCGTAAACAATACAAATGTCGGTTTCATCACCATGGAAACACACATGGAGTGGATAAGAAACATTGGCAGCATACGAACCAGGACATTTGTATTGACATTCAGACAAATGAAACGTTGTTAGGTTCAGTGTGTCCAATGCAGCATCAGCACAGCTATCCCAGTTATCACACTTCTCTACATTGACAGCCGTAGAACAGTCAAATTCCATCAGGGGTTGTCGGGGAGTCCTGATTATTCTGGGGACAAATAACAGGGCAGTATAGGCTAAACCTGATACTAGTAGACTTAGTACAAACATCGTTTTATACTTGGCGTGTTTTTCAGATATAGTTCCAAAAAGTGGCGGTCCCAGAACGCTAAAGAAGGCCGCCGCCATGTTGATGTAAGCAGTTTCTCGCAAGGTGAGTCCCTGGTCTCTCATGTGGATACTGAGAAACGGAGTTAGGCAACCAATAGCTGTCAGAAGAAAAAAATCACGCCATTTAGCCTTACAAATACAAATAAAAAGCACACGAAACAGACAAATGAACATATTTTAATATTCTTTGAAATAAAAAAGCAAAAAATAACGTTTTAAAAAAGCGAAAAGTTTTTTTTGCATACATTGTTATGTGCGTAGAATTACCAGCTGTGTGATAAATATTAAATATTTTATTTTATAACTTGAAATTTAGAAGATTTTAAAAAGTAGCAAATGAAATAATTACTGTCGCTGTAGTGGTTAATTTATTTGTAATAATGATAATTAAAAGTAATATGTAATACGGAACTTTATAAGATATGTATCTTAAGTTGTTAAACGAAAATAAGGTCTTGCTCAGCTCTTATGATCCTATAGCAATTACGATACAGTACAAATGTCACGAATGTATTATTTACATCTGTTGATCCAAGGTCACAATGTACATTACTGCACATTTGGCTTTTCAGGATCGAAATTCTGAAATTTCTTTGCATTCATTAAAGGGTTTGTTATGAAGCCTACAATTAAAACCAAATAACCTGCTTATTATCCCTCGTGCTTTGGACACAATCACTGTTTGTTTATTTGTTTTTTGAATTTCGCGCAAAGCTACACGAGGGCTATCTGCACTAGCTATCCGTAATTTAGCAGTGTAAGACTAGAGGGAAGGCAGCTAGTAATCACTACCCACCGCTAACTCTGGGGGCTACTTTTTTATCACCGAATAGTGGGATTGACCGTCACATTATAACGTCCACACGGCTGAAAGATTGCGAGTCGAGTTCCCTAAACACCTGACCACACAATCACTGAAAGTGAAGAACACAAATCTAAAACATCATGCGCAGTTTCAAATGAAATTAGTACGATGCAAGAATATTATCAATAACTCTACTAACATATTTTAGAATAAACTATTCATGAAACATTATTTGAAGATTCGTATTTAATATGAGTTACAATACAGTGGGGTTGAGCGTGACCTTACAGTTATGTGCCAGGGTATGAATCGAAAGGTCCAAAGTTCGTGTCGCGATATAACACTGATGACACTCCGCATTTCAGCTGTGGAAGCGTTATAACTTTGACAGTCAATCCCATTAATCAGTTAAGAGTAGCCGCTAGGCAGTGGATTCTGATAACTGGGTGTTCTATCTGGTCAACAGTTCTAAATTAGAGAAGGCTAATGGGGTCTTTCTACATTAGGTATTGTGAAATATATTTCTCTCATTTATATCTCAACATTATTTGGTAGGATCTGAATCGAATTTGATAAACAAACAATTCTCTACTTGTTATGTTCATAAGTTGCTTACTAGGGGCAAATCATAATTACTTAATTTTATGATAACTCCAACATATATTTACTTTTCAGTTCATTTTGTTACAGCATAATCTAGTTATTGTTGGATGTTTGTCCTAGCAACTGTTACTCCAGATCTCTTACAGATATTTCCTACAGATCTGTGAAGGATAAACAAATATGCTTCAAACATTAAAATAAGGTCAAATGGATATTTTTACAATTTAACCCTTAAGGTGAAGAACTCCTTAAACCATTATGCCTTTGAAGCTATTACACTGATACATATAAGACAATTAAAAAATCCAGAATGTAAGGGCTATAAACATTACAGAAATGTCATATGATCTGAGATAATGTTTGAAATAAAAATTGAAATGTATTAATCATTTCCCTAAGGGCTCACCCAGTGACATAGCAGTATGTCTTCGGACTTACAACGCTAGAATCCGGGTTTCGATACCCGTGGTGGGCAGAGCACAGATAGTCCATTGCGTAGCTTTGTGCTTAATTACAAACAAACACAATCACTTCCCTAAGGAAAGCGTTGAAAATGTTTCATTAATGTGGAGATGCAAAGAACCATTTATTCATTATTCAATGAAGGTTTAGATTATTTTCATTGTTGTTTTGTTTTTGGTTTAATATATTTTTAACTGAAATTTAAGAAAATAGAACAAAATACTGCTAACATCTTTATTTAGTTCTAGCGTACGACATATAACACGTGTTAAGTAAGCTATAAATCGTATTATCAAAATAATATAATTTTTTGTTGTTTGATATGAGATGATGTGATCTCTAGCCTAGTATATATATATATATATATACTATTTTCTGGTAGTAAATGCTTCACATATTCTAATTAATTATCTTGGGTTAGTTAAACAAAGGTAAGTTTAATCATACAAGGTAATCGTAAGTTTTACTAAGACGCATAGATAAGTAAAAAATATTGTTCTTTCGTTTGAAAACTCTTTGTTTCAGACTTTCGTGTGAGCCCGGCATGGTCAGGAGTTAGGGCGCTCGACTCGCAATCTGAGGGTTCGAATCCCCGTCCCACCGAACATGCTCGCCCTTTCAGTCGTGGGAGCGTTATAATGTGACGGTCAATCCCACTATTCGT